CTATTTGTCAATATTTAGACCAATGGTAGTAAGATTGAAACTAAGACTTGATATAAATGCACCTTAAGATGAACCAACTTTCTACCATAAGGTAGTAGGTAAAAATATTCATTTATCCTACATCAAGATCAATACCTCTTTTGATGTCAAAGTTATTAGCAAATATATACAATATCTACAAATTCCTTACTTCCAAAAAAGTAAACAAACTCTTTAATATGTGGTTGGAATAAAGAAATTTGATATTTTTTATTCCAAACAAATGACTTATAAATTTTGGATTATATTGACATCAATTGGATGAGCAATTTGGAAGAAAGAAAATTACAATTGACTCTGTATTTTGCTTTAAAATTGCTCCAATTATCTAACTATCTAAAAAATAATCCATTATAGCTCTCTCTTCTTTCTAAGAAAAGTACATGGATTTATTAACTATTGCCTATGAATCAACTTGATTTGAAAAACTGGTGTAAGACTTAAAACTAAAGATTGCAAAGCTACTATCAATTAAATGCAACAATGAAGCTAATATGATAATGAGAGCTAATCTTAACATTAATCTTCAAAAAAAATTATATTTCTACACACTTTCACTTTAATAAAGACATGATTGAGAATAAAAATATTACCTTATATTATATACCATCGATTAATGAAATTACAAAAAAAATTATTAAATCCCTAAAAAGAGCTTATTTAAGAAATTTTATACATTATATAATATGTACAATTTTAAGAATGTCGTGGGAGCAAAACAATTAAAGCCAACATGCTAATTCAAGTACCATCTCTAAATCCACTTTTAAAATTTTTTTAACTGCAATGAAACAAATATTCATCTATTTAACCTTTGAAATTCTAGTCTACTAGGTTTCAATTTCTACTACAAGCCATTGTTGCTTTGAAGTAGTTCTTTTTATAATATGCATGAATTCCTTGACTCCAATCTTTATAATTGAATATCTAGTCTTATCAAGCTTTGCATACTAGCTTAAGTAGCAACATTCTTTTGATTCTCATGTCCATGCTTATACTTATAAGTAACTTAGACCAAAATTTGAGCTCTTATTATCTCTTATGGTATTACGTCAAGAAATGTGCTCATAACCCTTCGCTCATGTATTTCTTATAATTCTGGAGGCTCATTTTTTGTAGCATCCTTGTACTTATCTTCATTTAAGTTCTTCTCTGCAAATAATAGTGATAATACACAAAACTTATGTATATCTTTTGAGCACATGCTGATAATTATTAAGAGCCTCATACCATGTCTCTATAACTCAATCAAAACCTATCCTCATAACTCATATAATATAGCATCTTGTCTTCTCATCTATTATTTTTTCTATGATTTTCTTTTACTAAGATAGGTGATTATTGAGCACTTTCATATTGAAGGCTAGTTTTCCTCTTTTTGTTTGTCTTTGAAAATAGGATCTTTTGATCCTATAAGCTATTTTATATCAAAGGAGGGTCTTGGAATAGTTACTACTACTAGCTAATAAATGTCACTTTATTTTCAACTATTAGTTATTTATTATAGGTAGGTTTCTCAAGTTTATTGTTTAACATCTTTCAAGACTCTTATACTTATACCAATTCACATTCCTTGAACTATGTTGAATACAAATTTATTTGTTTCACTTCATTTGTTTATTATTATTTGATTTCAACCAATAAAAATATTTAATAGTTAAAACCTTTCACATTGTTCTTTAAATATAAAGTGCTCAAAGGGCTCTTACTTCATCTTTTGTATGTAAATCAATCAACTTAAAATTATTAAGTTTTTTTGTTACTTCTATATATATAAATAAGTATATTTTGCATATATATTTTTTTGTGAAGACTTTTAAATTGAAAGATCTATCTCAAACACCAAAAAATAAAATAAAATAAAATAAAATAAAAACACACACACACACATACACTTATTATTAAATTCTTTAAAAATATAATATAAAAAAATCTTTTTAAATTTTTTTATTTTTTTTATTTTTTTCTTCAAGTTAAGTTCGAACTCCCTCTAGTTCGATAAACACAACGTATTTTGATGATATCTCATTTCTTGCTACCATCACAGTTTCAAATCACCTAAAGTTCTATCGTCTTTGCATTCCGAGTATGAATTAAGACCGTTTGTGGAGGTAATGGAGGTCGTCGACTATGGTGGCTCTGCAATCCATGCGACACAATCGATGAGCGAGAGAGAGAGAGAGAGAGACACGCAGAGGATGGAAGCAATCAGAGGATCTTCTACTACTTGTTGCTCTTGCTGCTGCTGAACACTCTTTTGCATTGCAGCGGAGTTGCGTTACGGGTTATCAGGCAGCAAACTCTATTCTCAAGGCACGCACTCAGTTTTTGTTACCTTCTGTTGCTGTTCTCGATTTCTACATGAAATCGGTTCCTTGGTGACACTGAAGCTCGCATGTAACCAGAACATCAATTGCCTTGGTTCGTTGATGCGAGTGTGTGTTTAGCAGAGAGACTTTCTCAAGTTTGACCTGTTTGTTTGTTTGTTTTTTTGTTTGTTTTTTTTTTTTTTTTTTTTTTTTTTTTTTCTGATAATGCTCTTTCCCTGAGCACAACGTGTCACATGTTGAAGTCTGTGGAACAACTCCACGCACAACGAGATAGATACTGAAGGGTCATGCGTCGCAGAATCTGCGAACCTCCGCAGGTGGCTTTTCTTTTCATTATCAGTGAGAAGAAATTGTAAGAAACGCGGAGATTGTTGTGGAAGTGTTCGAGAGGGGGTTTCGCACTCTAGGATTGGGGCTGTATCCTGGTGAAAGACTGTGCAGAACATCATGGTGAATGTAATCAAGAGCGTGTACTTGAGTTCAAATAAACAATGAAAATAGCGTGTAGATGCTAAGCTATGAGATCAAATGGAAGGTACAGTTGATAAATCTCCGACGCTTTTGTTGTTTGTCGAAGGTGTCCATGGCCATTTAAATAAGATAGCATGGATATTTAAATAAGAGGATTGTTTCTCTCCCCTTTCTTTGGCGGAGATACAGACTACTCTGATATAAAACTTCGTAGACAAGAACGACTATGATCGGATGTCGTCAGTGCACTTAGTCATTAATAGCCTAACCTACCATATGTAGCTAACTATTTCGATTAAAACAAGGCCTCTATTGGAACTTTGTGACGTGATCGCTATCGCCATAGAAGTCGCGCACAAGTTTACGACATCAATTCCTGAAGCCAATGAAAACAATGTGGCAATACTGAACCACAAGATGGTGGCTGCTCGCATTAATGGGAATTGCCTTCGCATAAAAACGATGATGTGAGATATGAAACGTTGTCTCCTTGACCGATTTGTTTATCGCACCAATTCGAGAAACAATCATCAACAGTTATTTGGAAGAGAATATCTATTCTGCAGGCCACAGTGCTAATGCTTGGGGAATGTAAGATAGATCGAAGACTAGTGACTCATGCGTACAGGAAACCTACCCGACCTGCGCGGCGAAAGCAGAATCGGAGCTGCAATTTTCAGTTCACCTTAAGTCAACAAGGCGCATCACCAGCTCGCAGAGACCGAACCTTATCATACATCCTGAACAGCCTAAACCTAACCCCTGATGATGAGATATAAGCTAAATTTACCGCATGAATGAATGCGGCACCACCATCTTGTGGTAGATTAGTCCAAGGTGCCATAGGCAACAGTAAACTTTGGAGTACCATGGTGGAGTAACAAATGGTAGCTTCTTCAACGATGACATAATACGTGCGTACGAGAGGACTGTTTCGTGTAAATCTCAGAAACACGTCCTAGATTCGAATTAACCTATCTCTTGCATTTAGGATAAAGTAGCCCCTCAGAGCGCCGTGAAAGAGGTGTGAAAACTGTACGTAATCGAATTAAATGCTGATGTAGGTTGAGAGGAAATTGTCGAAATTGGAAAATTTCAGAGCATTAGGAAGCGAGTATTTGTGTTGCCAATTGATGGAGATAATACTACACCATGCCACTCTTTGTCTGTGGCAAGTTCATTAAACCCGGTGGTTAAGAAGGACGGGATTCAAGGATGGTCTGTTCTGACCTAACTGCAACCGACGTAGGAGCTGAACTAGAGATTACAGCATATTGTAGCAACTCTTCCAACGATTGCTGGACTGGGCAGTAGACATAGTTTAGTTGACTCTAGACTTCATCTTGCAGTGCAGTTGGTGGATCCATGTGCTGTGAAAGATATTCTGCTGAAGGTTTGTTTCCGCGTACAAACAATTCACAGGGTGTTGCATTATGAGCATTGTCAACCATTAATCATTCCTGTGCTGACTTGCAATTGAGGTACCGCCACGGACATGGCCAGGTATTTCCGAACACACCCTCGAATGCCCACTTAATGTTTTTGCCAGGATGAGCGAACATTTCAAAAGAGACAAACTTTCTGAAATCTGCAGCACTTCCAGAGAGTGAAATTTATTTTACTCCTGATAATCGCTTAACGTCTGAAAGTGTTCGAGAAATGTGTTCAGTAGCATGATTACCTTGATTTTCATTAACGCTTTTATATCAGTGCATTCAAGTCCATGCATTCATCTCTCACCGTAATAAGAACTGGCACCATGTAGTTGAAACTCACCAGTTGGGTCTCTGATTGCACATTACTGCATCTGTGGTTCACGATGCATAACGACTACGACCCCAACGTCTCGAGTAAGAAGCATACTGCTGGATAGCTCCTTGATGTTTTCCCAGTGGATACAGAATGTCAACTGCCTTGAATTAATCCAAACCAAGTGACTTGCTACAGATTCCGTATTCCAGTTGCAGTTACCGAATTCCAAGTGGGGATATCCATCAGTTTCGTGGAATACCGGTAAGATCGTCAAGTTCTGCATGAAGTGGTTATGATTTGTCCTGTGGTCGTTAGGGACGTCATGGTTAGCGCATGTCGTAATTATCCAGCTGAGGTACACTCTAATTTTGATAGTATAAAGCGGATCAGAGGAGCATTCAATTTCCGAACCAGTCGTGTCTAGCTTTCTTGCAATCGTTGTCACCAATGTAATCACCGTCTTGTTTGCTGTGAGCTCATCAGTTGCTCCTCGCTTAGTTGGAACTGTGATTGTCAATACCATATCAGAAACCGAATATGGAGAACCAGCAGCTGTGGCTGGGGGGGCGTAGGTGCCCGAAATATCATCAGCTGCTAGCTGTTATAGCCACCGTCTGGTGCGTCAGCTCATGCATTACAGTATCTGATGCTGCAACATCTTTTGGAAGCATGAGTGGGTCGGAGGGTGGTGGTGAAAAGAAGAAATTGTCCAAGGTACTGGTCCAGGGCGTGGTATATTGTGAAGCGACATCCCAGCATCAGCTCCTGAAAGGTAAGACCTATTTCCAAATGTTTGATTAAAGGTTACGTCCTTACAATGGATTAAATGAACCAGATTTTTATGTTCATGTGTAAGTACATCAGGATAACTTCTTAAAGGCTGTAATGCTGGAAAATCTGTTTTGAAGCTGTTGAAAAATCCAACTAAATCAGAAAACTGGTGCAGATGCCGAGGTGGAAGTGGAGTGCAACAATCGGGGAGTAAGAGAAACAGAGGTTGGTAGGACCACTGCATGGGGCGCTTTCAGCATAACACTTCAGGACTATGATTTCGAGGCGCTGGGTAGCAATGGATGTAAGGCGAAACTCAAATCAAGCTTGAACACCACTTGTACTGTACCTACGAACAGGGGTGGAGGCTTGACCGGAACAGATCTCGTTCTTAAAGAGAAGTCCAAGGACATGGTGATTTTGACGGCAGGGCCATTCGCATTCCAACAATCTAAGGTAAAAGCCACTCGTGCGGTATCACGGGAGAATCTGCAGAGCAACACAGATGACAAGTACTCCAGTGGCTCTTCCCTCCCTGCTGTGTCAGGCTTGTGGTACGCTCCTCCTGAAAACAATTACTATACATATCCTTCCCCTGCTCACTATGAGTCTCCTAACCACCACGAGAATCGTGGTGATCATGAGTCCCATAAAGACATTCATCGTAGATCTGAACACGAGGGTCGACAGGGGTCTTCCGGCGAGCGTACTGATCATAAAGCTCGTGACAAGGATTGCTCATCGAAGAGTGGAAGCCACCATTACAAAACCCCTCCCCACCACTCAGTACCCAATTACGAAAAGTCTCCACCTACATATCACAGTGAGCATCACAACACTCCTTCCCCTCATGAATCTTCTTCCTCCCATCCTCCTCCTCGTCCCCATTACGATGCACCTCCCTATGTCCCCTACGTCCATCATGCACCTCTACCACCACATGACGGCTACAAATCTCCTCCTCCACCTGATCATGACAATTACGAAGCACCTCCAAAGCAATATGATCCTCCTCCATATTACCAGAGAGGCAATGTTGACACCACTGCAAAAGCAGCATCAGCGCAGCCGAAGGAGAGTTCGCCATGAAAGGGGTTTCAAGATTCGTAAGCCTCGTAAGCTCATCTGTGCTCCGACATCGATTGCGTTGCTCGCTTACGAAATCTTGTAGAGACTGCAGTACTCAATGTATATTCTCGGATATACATACATATATAGAGGCATTTATCGGTGACACTCACATACCTGTGAGTGTACTCGTTGAAATAGAAAATCCATGGCGATCAGCGCTCTTCAGCTTCTTGTTTTGTTTCTAAAGCTGGGTAATATACTTAACCACAAGATCATAACAGTGATTCCGACAATGTTTTCAGGATTTCTTGCAGCTTTTTATTCTTACTTTTATTTTATTTTGATCAACATAATAAAGTACTGCAATTCTGAACCCTAAAAAGTACTGTTTGAATACTGACACGGGATGTTTTTTCAGTCACTTTATCGACGAAGTGCTATATGACTGGTGGGAAAAAACAATCCAAAACAAAACAAAACAAAATTAAATTTTGAGGTGTTTGTTCCATGTAACGACAGCATTGTATCTATGAATTATCACAACGAGCAATGCATGAAACCCATAATTACATGATCTAAAACGAAGGCACTAAAATCATCAGGACCTTAGAAAAAAAAAAAAAAACCTCTTTTTTCACCGAACTGCGGTCTATTTCAGATGATAGCACTAGAAAGACCCTTTCCCTAAACCATTATTATACAGTTAGCCTCCATGTCTAATTCGACCCAAGGGTGATTCTTTTCATCTTCATGGGGCATATATTTCATGTAAACAAAGAAGAGTGAAATAAAGTTACAAACATTTTAAAGTTTTGAAAAAGATCGATTTTTATTTTTAGTTTTTAGTTTTTATTTTTAAAATCAATCCTTTGTTGCATAGTGGAGATTTTTTTTCAAACTTTCTTACAATCTAATGGTTATTTTGAGGCTTTATAGAAAATTTTAGATTCTATAAACCTTTTGAATAATATTTTGAGATTATCTTTTCAAGGCTGAATAATGCTTTTCAAAAATTTGGATAATTTTTAGTTATAAATTTTAAATTTATCTAAGATTATGCAAAGAGTTTACTAATCTACTTTTAAGATTTCATAATCCAATTATTATAGATATTACTTCTGGTTTAGTCTCACAAAATTAACACCACTATCATATTTGGTGATTCTTTGATTTTCATATCTTTTCTTACAAATTTATTATATTTAAACTATATTTACAACTAATTATAATTTATTTTTATATTAAATATTTTAAACATGATTTAACGATAAGAATATTTTTGAAGTATTTAAATATAAAATTTTAAAAATAGATGGTCTTTAAATACTTCAAAGATGATTATATATTATCTATTGTAAAATTCTTTGAAATATATTTAGAAATTATTTTTTAATATTGTTGTAGGAATTTGTAGGCCATCTTTTGATTCAAAAGTCTGCAGAATACTATTCCATAGAAAAAATTGCTGTATAAAAATTACATTTAAAATACTTACTTTAAGTATTTTTTAAGGAAGCTTCTTAAATACCACTAGGCTTGTGAACTAAGTATTTAAGTTGTATATTATTTTTATGGTAGTTTTTTAGATTTAGAAAACTTGTAGATGAAGTTGTATATCTACATTGCATATCTAAGTACATTCAAGAATCAATCTCCAACAACAAGAAGAAAAAAAATAAATAAATAAAAATAAAAATCTATGGTAGTTTTTTAAAAAATATCTCTTAAATATATTGCTATATATTTAAATAATCTAAATATCTATAAAATTATATTTCCTTCGAAAAACTAATTTTATAAAAAGTAGTAAAATTCTTAGTTGCACTACAAGTTGAAAAATATCTTAGATCAACCATATAATATTTATCACAAACTTTAAAGTATTTTTTAGATATATGTGATTGATAGACCCTTTGAACTATAAAGAAGGTTTTTATTTAAGTAAGAAGAATATCCAATTATTTGATTTTCTTTAGAATTTCATGAAAACTCTTAAATGATACATATAGAATGTTATTATATACAATATCTATCTTTAAAGAAAATTTAATTGTTGAGTACATTAAATTCTATGCTATAAAGATTTTTATTAAAATCTATCATATTTCAAAAAAAATTTAAAAATTAGATTAAGATATATAAATTTTAGATTTATTTATTTTTTATTTTGATAAGATATATATGTATGTATATTTTTGAAGTAACCTTTCTTATTGTTATTATAGTAGATATAATTACTATTTTAAAAAATAAATGTATTTAGAGCAAAAATAAACGAATATAAATAAATAAAAATATATTAGGTAGATAACTTATTTTCAAGAAAAATTGTGAAAGTTTTATAGATGCAAATCAGATTCATAAGTATCTTTGGATATTTCTTGTTGTTATTAAATTATTATTTTTAACTATGCTTTAAATCTAAAAGATAGCTATAGAAATATTCCACAACTTGGACCTTAGTCTACAAGTATTTTAATCTCAATAAAAATTACATAGTAAAATTTCTATTAATAAGTATATACAAAGACAAGACTAAGAATATTATTAATCTCCTAAATACGCCACTTATACTCAAGTCTTGGTTTATTTTTTGTCAATTTTTATACATAGAGATAGTCATTTAATTTTAAAATTTTAGATATATATATATATATATATATATATATATATATCTGTGTATTTATTTCTATCTTCTTTTTGTATAAATGAAGTATCTTTTGACTAGTCTTTATAGATTTATGTCCTCAATAATAACTTTTTTATACAACAATAACTAAAAGAATTCAACTTATACAGAAAAAATAAAGATTCTTAAGTAGATTAAAAGTTTTAAGATTTTAGAATCATATAAAAATAGTAATAATAATAATAATAATCTAAGTTTTTTTACATGATATTCATTGTAAATTAAGATAAATCTAAATGCTTCAAAAAGCTTAGAATTTTAATAAATTTTCTAATTTCTATTATCTTAATAAAATGTAATATATTATTTTAAAATCAACATGTAGTAAGATGATTTCATACAAAATTTTATTTAAGAACTTTTAACAAGTATTTTTCATTTTTTATTTATAAAATATTCTAAAAAAAAAATCTAATAATTTTTTTTTTCTAATAGTTTATATCATTAATTTATGTAACAAGTTTTTAATGGAATAAATACAAAATAATAATACATTTATTTTTTTTAAAATATCTAAATATAAAATATATATATATATATATATATATATATATATTGAATAATCACAGATAACTAAAACTTTAAAAATACTAAAGAACTAAAATATTTACTTTATTTTTAATTTATTTAATTAACTTACTTAAGAAAATTATATATATATATATATTATTTGAAATATATTATTGCATTTTCGTTTTACATCTATAAATATTATCTAAAAATATATTCATATTTATATTTTTTTCAAAAGCTGAAAAATATAATAATTTTTTTGATAGAGCTGATTAATATTTTAAGATTTTTTCTTAGGAGTTATTTATTTATCTAAGTATAAGTATCTTGTTAAATGAATTATGTTAAATATAATTTTCGAAAAGAAAAAAACTAGAAAAATATTCTTATATACGATCTTTAAAAGTTATAAATTTTATAATAGTTTTCAATAATATTGAAACTAAGAAAGAATAAATAAATGAATAAAAGAATTTTTTTTAATCAAATTTATATTCTTTTTGTGATTTGAAATACATTAAAATGGTTATATCTGGTTACATTAATATAGTTTTAGAACAAATGAAAAAAGACTTATGTTATAAATTTTATTAATATATTACATTTAAGTTAAAGATCTATTTTAAAGTATATATGTACACATGTAATGATTTTGACGATACAATTTAAAGCATGAAAGCTTTAAATTGCATTTATTATAATTATTTTGTAGAATCAAAATGATGGGTTTTTTTTTAATTAATTTAATCAAAGTAAGTATTAATTTAGGAGAAATTTTACTTCTGAATTTACTTGTTTCTTGTTTGAAAAAGGTTAATTAATGTAGTGGAGTTTATTTCATTTGAAAATCTCCTGAAACTGTTTCTCACACAAAATCCACAGCTCAAAAGTTAATCCTACAGATACAAGAAGACCCTTTCAGATACGAATACCTTCAAAACAATTCAAAACATATTATAAGAAGACAAAAAATCAATCATAAGTATTTGACTTTAATAACATATAATTGTAAAGAGGCGCCCAAACAATATGCTATAATGTAATATGAGCATGCTACCAGAGTAGCAAATTTAATTGTTATTCTTCAAAGTCATGTACATGTGGAAAAAATTGCAAATATGAGTATGAATTTATGTGTATACAGGTATGTATATACACACACACACATATATATATATATATATATATAGATAAGAGATATCTTATTATATCAATTATGACAAAAATAACATCCAAATGTTTAATTAATTCAAAATTCACTAAGTATATTGATTATAGATTTTTCAAAACATACAAGAATCGTTATGATTAAGACTTTTTGAAATTAGTTTTATTTTGGTAAAGATCTTTGTAACGAGTTGTAAGAAAATAAATAGTATTTTTTAATTATCAATAAATTTTCTGAAAGTTGATTTTTCTCAGCTGAAAAGGCTCAGCTGACTTTAATGTTGATTTAAATTTTTCTCAGCTGAAAAGTTTGAGATGTAAAAATTTTAAATACAATTTAATAAGAAAATTTTATAATTTATTAATGCTTGATTTAATTCCTAATTAAGTAATATAACTATAAAGTTATGTTGCTTAAAAACATTTGTAGAAGTATTGTCAATAATATATTATGTGGTATCAAAAGTACAAACATGTATGTTAGAATATTATATAGTACTAGAATTATAAACAACACTAAATGTTAAACATTATGTTGTTTTTTCATATACAATGTTCTTATTGCTATTTAATCCTCCAAAAACTGCTAACTTCCAATAATTAATCAAAAATTTAAATAAACCAACTCTATTCTATAATGAATAATTAATAAACTTTGTTCTCTAATGACTAATTAATTTTTATAGGTTTTTATTAATTAATAGAGGTGATTAACATAGATCAAGTGGCCACTACATTGGAAGCTACCAACTTAGACTGTAGGGCATTTAAAGAATGATCTCCATCCTTTCTTTAATGTACTAGTTTTGATAATTAATAACATCTAATAATTTATTTTTTTATTTTTTTATTTTTTTGCAATGGATAATATTAATTAATGGGAGAAACATTATATATAAGCATGTATTTTGTTAAAATAATATAATCACAAAAAATTTCAGAGATAGTTTCTAATAAATTTAAATAAAAGTTGATATGTTAATTTAAAAAAATAATCAAGAAAGATATTTTTATATTTTAAGCTAAAACTTATTGATTAGAAATATAAGATAATCGTTAAATAATATTGTCTATGCTATAATCTTCCTCATTTAAAAAGATCTTTTATATCTATTAAAGACATATAATAAAAAAATCAAATTATTAGCTAAACTATTTTTATATTTATATAGTAATATATTTTAAATATTAGATTGTGTCATAAATATATATATATATATATATATATATTTCTTCTTTGGTATTAATATTAATTATTTCAAAATTAACTTGTCATATTGCTTTAATAAAAGTAACAATATTTTGTTGTTTTAGGATAGTTGAATTTAAATTAAGTGCTTTTGTAAATATTGTCCTCATAAGTTATATGAGTTATCATGTCTTGATAAAATCTTTGGAAAAACTTAACAAGCACATTTATTGTTGTTAGAAGGCGTTCTACCTAATAAGATTAGTAGAAAAAAAATTATTAAGAATATTAGAAGTGCTAATTTATTTTTATGTTGTTTGACAATTAGAAATATAATTAAGATTCAATATACAAAGAAATAATACATTAGGATAAGTAATTGGCATTAGAAGGCAATATAATAGTCATTCAATTGAATGTAACAATTGTAAAGAATCAGGTATATTGTTATTATCATGAACATTGATTTTGCACCACTAAATTTTAAAAATAATGCAACCTTAAATTAGAAATACACCTAAAACGTTGGGTTAAAAATTGTGAGTATTATGCTAATTGTGTGGATTTTTAGATCGACACAAAAATTCCTACAAATAGAAAACAACAAAGATATACAGTTTCAGTTACTTTAAAATGAAGGGTGTCAAATCCTACTTGTTTTCTAGTTGATTTCATGTCATATAGTATTGAGAATATCATGAATACTGAAGATTGTTAAAAACTTGGAACATTGCAATTGCACTATTAAAAGTAAAATAGTTTCATTACAACGGATCTCAATGTTCTTAATTACGTGTGCATAAATTACATAAAGCAACTACAAGGATAATTCTGTGAGGTTTCCATTAAATCGGCTCATACTGCAGCAGGATACCGAACAATAGGATTTGACTGGACAACCTGTTGATTGCATCAAGATGCCAACCATAAAGGTTGCAGCTTTCAATGCATAAATGAACCTGCTAAATTTAGCATCTTTTCCATCTGTGGAGGAGTCGAGATGGCAAAAGAATGCAACATCTACACTGCTAAAAAAAACATGGCAGCGTTTAATGTTGGTCATAAACTTTCATGAACATACCATCTCCAGCACAAATACACCAACAATAACCGTGAACTTGAGGAAATAATGAGAACTATATAGGTGGGAGGGCGATTAGCGCCTTTCATTAGAATCGGAGGTCTGAGGTAAAATAGTCACTTGAGGATTTGATCTGGAGCTGCGTCCAGCCCTCGGGTAGTCTGGTATCCCTGACCTCGAAGTTGAATTGGGTGGATTATTTGCCTGCTGCTGTCTTCTCGACTCCCCAATGGGCATAAGCGGGCTGCTGAAAAAGATAGACGTGGAAACATTTGTCTGCGGATTGCTTCTCAGTCGCGAATTACTTGCATATCTTTGAGAAGGTTGCAAAGACAGAGATGGATTCGGTGAAGAAGATGGCCCACCCTCTGGATGTGCAAGATCTGCATCCGATGCGGATGACGGTGAGGACCATGGAGCTCTTCTGCTTTGATGAACAGACAGCACTGAAGTGCTTATTCCTCGACCCTTGAACTGGATAGTCCTCGCTGCAGCACTGTCTTCTCTAAACCAACTGGCCCGTCTATCACCAAAATTAGTTCCCATTTTGGAACCAGCGGGGGAGTGCTTGGTACTCCTATTGAAGATCATTCTCCCCTTCCCTGGTCGTCTCATATCATCTGTGGTCTCTCCGGCAGAAGCATCATAACCATCACTGAGAGTGGATCCAACAGGCCTAGTAAGGTTGGAGACTGCGACATTGTTAGTCCTACTACCAGAAGGATCAGCCGGATGGAAGACTGCCGGCAACTTGGAGGCAGCATTGACAGGGTGCCTGGCAGTAAAAGAGGATTTGGATGATGAATCAAGTCCCGTAGACGCCATATCAGTTCTAGCCTGGTTGCCTGCGTTTCTCGAATCGACTCCCAAACTCTTCTCCCACAAGGCGAGTACGTCTGGCTCCCTTCCCGTACGTATCCGTGGAAGTTCCGACTTGTATGGAGACAAGGACAAGGAACTTTTTCTATCTTCACATCTTCTCTGAGGCGCAACTGGTATACTAGATTCAGTGCTGATCATACTATATCTACTGCTATTACTGCCGCGGCTTCCATCCGACTCCGTCGACGGATTCAACTCAGAATGCGCCACACGTCGTAAAACAGACGAAACTTTTCGAGCATTTTCTGCCGCTTGTACAGCTTCCGCTTTATTCAACTTTGCAAGTCTCCAAGCACTGATCCTAACATTTCCAGGCTTGCTATTTCGCGGATTGGTCTGTTGTTCAGGGTGCACAGTTGCAGATGGTACGCCAGATGCTGGATGTGGAATTGCTTCATCCTGTAAAAAATAAATACTTAGTGATACCATGATTCTATTTAGAAAAGAGTCTTTGAACTTCTAGTGACCATCTTTTCCAGTTCACGTTACAACCCCTCCCAACTGCTCTACTGGAGTAGAATGCCTTTGAAAGTGCAAGAGCAATTGATTTGATCCATAAAAGTAACTTAGTCTGGCAAATACAGAATTGGCATCAGCTAACGAAAAGAAATTCAACCTAGAAGTCATAACCGATTCTGAAGCATCGGATCACAGCGTATCGAAGGGTATAAACCACCGAGGTAGTTATTATTCGCTTCATGCCATATTGCCTAATTCTAATCTACAACTTGCTCAAGACAATCGACAATCGATCTACAATTCTAATACCACAGCCCTAATGTTTCAAGCAACAGAGACATGTCAAAACCGCCAAGACTACAAGCTTTTCATAAACCATTTACCTGATGCTCTACAAATATGCGTGGTGGCGTACACCAACCCACGTGCTGTTGAAGTCCTAATGAGCTTGATAAGTGAAGTCCAACTGAGCTTGATCTGCTCATATCAGGAATTGTTGAGCTGGTGGTAGATGACGTTACCTCATCGTCAACTGGTGGCCCTCCCGGTTGTGCCCGCATAGCGACCACATATTCATATGTGGTAATGCCCTAATACAAAATTAAATCAGATCTGTTGCCTCCATTCATTACCTTATTGACGACAGAGAAAGATCACCACTACATTGAGTATGCTGCCTCATTTTCGATTCAATAAACAACACTGGAAAATAGATAGCATTACTCATGAAAAAATCATGTATAACTATTTTACTCGTAGCCGAACTCCGAGATGTGCAAACTAGGATTATAAAAATGAAGAAGCAACATAACTCACCTTCTGAATGAGGATGAGATGAAAAAAAAAGAGTTCGCCCAAGGGAACACACGCCAACCAGGCCACTGCTGTGCAGACAGCCTACATCCAATACCATGAGCGTGCCCGAAGCTTCTTAAATATGACGAAGTCTTTTCAAAGAGCATTCAAAATTCATCATGAACTAAAATTCACAACAGTGCAGAAGTTTTGGAGACTCGATAGTGAACAATTGGCAGAAAAATAATCCGGATTACAGATTTCTACACAGATATGTGACATATCAAATGCATTGCTTCTACAGACCATAAAGATTAAAGGTACAGTTCAAGTGGTGCAGACATTGGTACTTATATAACCACCATGACTAGATTCATTTGTAACTCCTTTGTTGTTAACATGCATACTTCACAAAGACCAAAATTGACTTGGCTAACTCTCCTGGTTGACTCCAAAATAAGTACGAACAGTAAGGCTCAGCTTGAATATAATCATACCACAACAGCTGCAAACGGGGCTCTTGTAAATCCATTCCCAAGTTTTTCAGTGATTTCTTCCCCAATACTTCGCCTATCCACAAAGCAGCGCACAAACACTGCTGTTCCAACTACCCCCTGCACAATAAGCTGCACAATGCAACAAAGATTTTAAACCTCTGCTTTGGAGTAAAACGATGTTTGTTGTAAGCCACAATCTGCGTCAAAATGATCCACTTGGAATTATGAAGTACATTAAATCCTTTCATAGCCGAGCATGCCATAAGCAGGTTAAAAAAATACCCATGTAACTTCTAAACGAGGCCTTCAAGGTGCAAGGTGTCACCAGTGTAGGTCCAATAAACGACATTGAAAAGATTCAACGTCAGGATTAGACTCAAGTACATGTGAAAATATAAATTCTTACCAGCATCAGACTCAAGGACATCAGTGCCACAAACGTCTTGTAATTCTTTTTCCCGATGCAGTTATTCAACCACTGCACACTCAAATATAACAAAAGCTGAATTCCCATCTAGAATAGAAAGTTAGAAGAAATCAAACAAGTCTATAGTCAATTGATAAGAATGCAGTCGGGTTTCAATGCTATCTACCAGTTGTTCATTAAGACCAATCTGTACAACAAGGAATCTCAATGCGCCTTTAGAAGGGCCAAAGTTTTCACATTCTAGAAACGCGTGCACGAGGGCTAGAACATACTCGACAATGATGATCGAAACCATCCACGCACTTATCGCAGCTTCGACAATGTTTGCTAAACTTGCGAACCTGTCAAAACCATTTCTTCACTATTATCAAACACCAGCCTGATACAGATCAGTCAACACTCAGTACCAAATGTGCTGATTCCTATGTATGGGGTTTAAGAGTCTAGCTTAATCTTTCCCCTTTACCAGAATGGGATTTCGAGGATCGTCAACTTCTGCAACTAGGACACAAGTCTTGAGCTGTTTACTATCGTATATTTAACAAAAAATGTCCGTCTCGACATTGAATAGTTGCATCATATCATAGTAGTCCAAACGCCTCTAAATAAAGCCTGTAGTCTCTTGTATATGTCAAATGATTTTACAAATTCACGAATATTTGCAGCTTAACTGCGATCCAAAATCTGGCCAAATCCAGTTTGTATTGCACCTTTTGAGTTAACACATCCATGCAATTAATTCCATAAACATGCAGTGGTATCACGTTTCAAAAAACAAAACTTACCTCCGTGTTACAGAGCATGCAAAACAGTATCTCGTTTTCCACAGCAAGCTGTTGAAGGTCGGAAGAACTACAACAGTCATCAGGGGCAAAAATCCAACCAAATACCAGACCAAGCAGGTCGGCATAGCTGCAGTCCCTTGGAAGACTGTGACTTTCGACTTCTCCTTCTTCCAAAATGACCTCCTTGTGCTCATTTTCTTTCACGGATAAGGCCACAGACGGAGGGTTAGATGGGCGGAGGGACGAACCAATACCCGAAGGTCCTGGCACTACCCCTACTGAAGACTCCGAAGTGTCATTTAAAAGATGATTTCTGTGTTGTTGGTTCTTATTCACGCCAGAATCAGCTGGGTCGATTGCTGTGCATCGAATGTACAATACAAATACTGCAAAAGCCTACGGAAAAAAACATGGCCAAGATGAGTCTTACGTGAGCTAAACGCCTAAGAAAGTGATCAGATGATAATTTATGTTATCAGATTTTGTTACACTAATGACCTAAATAATATAATCGCCAAAATTTGGCAGAAATATACCTAATCGAGCCAATTATTAACTACATAAGTTCTCTCGAGTCAATTACCTTATAGTCAAAACAAAGGGAACAAAGGAAGCGATTCTAAACCACCATATCCAAGGATTATGTAGCAAAGTAACTGCAAAATGAGCTTACTCTGGGACTACAACTAATTGCAACACCTTGAGTGCACTCAGGAGGAGATGGTGAAAATCCTACCACGGGAGAGTATACTGCATAAGCAGCGATTACTGAACCATTAAACCATAGGAATGGGGCCAAAAATATATAGTAGGCGATGGCAAGAAGGAAGAAGACTGTGATTGCCGCCACCTGAGAAACAGAAATTATTACAATGGTTAATACGTATGGGGGCCTTCCTTGCGTTTTGATTGACAAGTAATAGAGAACTTCTTTGCTTGGCCATTGACAATGATGCGAGCTTTATCACTTGATTGTTATCCTAAAATGGTTTGAAATATCGCTGTCGCGAGTTCAGCATTACTGGCGCAAAGAGCCCTCAAACCAAACAGTAATTTTTACTTTCAGTAATACAATTCCCTTTCATTTCTAAGAATGGGGTCATTTTGCTCTAATGAACGTAATGTACTACTCGTAATCGCACTAAAACTGCAGGTTCGGCACCACTAGGTTCACTGATCTCGAATTTTGAAGGAAATACTACCCCGAGGAGAGATAGCAGCAGCAACAGCAGACGAGAGTTCACAGAACCTAAGTACATTTATGAAACTTGTTCACCAAGGCGCACGATTGTGATACAGCAGTGCGCCGAGTAACGCAAACATACCTGAAGGGTGTGAGCAGGAAGCTGCCAGCCATGGCGTCGCACCATGACTACAAACAAGGGAAGCGCGTGCTGTGCATGCACGCGGTCCAAATACCATAATCATTCACAGAGAACCTCACACATTATGAGACACACATGCTTCTTCCGCAATGATCTCTTTCTCCCGAAAATTACCACTTACGGCGGTTCCTGCTATCGCTATCAAATGCACCTAGAAAATTGTTCAACTAATTCCTGAATCTCCATCATCGCAATCCCGAGTGTGGAAACGGGCCGGTCTGATAACATCGAGTGCAACCTGACGTTTTCATCGCGGTCTAGACGGAAACTCCTAAAACAAGTCCAATCGCAGGATTCTTCCATCGCCTTCTTCGCGCTCTGCCTCCGACCTACTTGCCACACAACACGCAAACATACTCTGCAACCTCTTCTCGGGACCGTTGATCGGTACATACTGCTCTTAACAACATAATATACGGCTCAACTACCACTCTGACAAACTCCCTTCACTTTTCACTCCTCGTTTTTTTACATCGCCGCCAATCTCTCTACTCCAATCTTCAGTACAGCAATCCTAATCCTCTTCAATTCATATCCACTTAACGTCTCTTTCGACAAAATCAGCTAATCAATCTCTCGCACTCTCTCTCCCGAACTGACCAGCTTCTGCCTTAACTCACCGCTTCAGCGATGCTTACGAGAACTGGAACTCCTGAATCAGAAGCGCTCTGGAACCTCAACTCCTGTCTTGTTGGCTGTCTTTCTACTGTCCCTCTACCACCATGCGAGACTAAATGACTGTTTCATCTACTCACGTCGAATAGATGGCTGTTGGTCCCCACTAGGGTAATGAAGCAAATATTTGGCCAATTGAGGACCTGTGGAGGAGTTGGTACATTTTCTAACACTTTTCTGCTGTTCAACATCTCTCTCCTCCTCTCTCTAAAATTGTCCGTGATTCCTTTTCAATTGTCCTTCATGTGTGTTACAATTGGTATTGTGTTGTAACATGGGTATGGGGTGAAAAGAGAGAGGAAAGTATTATGTTATAGAAAAGCTTATTTTAAGATATATTAATAAATTATTTTAGAACCATGGATTATAGTTAAGGAGGTAGTAAAATTAATAAGTGCTAATGTTGTATTTTTGTAAAAAGAGTTTCTATTTAATTTCTAGTGCTATAACTAAGGCAAAAAAAAAATAGATTAGCAAAAATAGTATTATAAAAATCTTTAGGTAGAAGTAAAGAATAGCAATGAGCAAAAATTACTTGGATAAATCTTAAATTGATATCTATGGAAGGTAGTTTTATGTTATAATATGACTATATGGTAAAAATGTGAACAGAAATGATATTATGATTTGTATTCTATCATCTTGGTTCAATAATAATTTTAGACATTTAAACAAGGCTTTTACAAAAGCCACTTAGTTTATTTTTTTTATTTATTTCATTAGCTAATAGATTAAAGGTTGGTTAGCAAATTTATCTTTTAGATTATAAAAAATTCTTCTAATATCTTAGAAAGGCCATAAATTAATAAAAATAAAATAGATTAGGTAAATATTTAGTGTAGTCAATTCTAAAATAAAGTTAAGGATAGAATCATGCTAAAAAATCCCTACAAAAGATTAGATTGATACCTAAGGCACAACCATTTATAGATCAAGGTCAAAATCAAACCTCCAACCACTAAAATGGCCACTTAGGACAAAATAGAGGAGATTTTGGAGATCAAAGAGTTGAATCAAAAAATTGGCTTCAAGCTTGTTCTAAAGTTGTAAAGCTTGTATTCATAGGTTTTGAGATGATTTTGCAATTGTTGTATAAAATCACGGTTTGTATTGGTGACTTTGGATTTATGTAATAAAATTAGAGCTAGCACTATCGACTGGTTTGTGAAATGCATATAACATCTATAGTTCAAATTTTGTCAATGCATAGTTGAATGGATGTGCTAATTGTGTGTGAACTTTCATATTATTATAATAATGTGATTGGAAGATATTTAGTTATTAGTGCAAGGAATTATCAAAAATTGATACTTTAAAGTTGAGTAGGATTTTTGCAATATTTAAAGATCTACTCATTAGAATAAAAAGAAATTTGGCATGGTTTTAGTAGATTAACATATCAAGCTACATGTCAATTTGGATTTAAAGTTAACAATTGGAGATAGAGAAATTATTACTTGAATTTCATCATCAACCTTCAAGTTGGCAGCCAAGGGACACCTTTGCAGTTCTTTTTTATTTTTTTCATAATTTTTTTTCTTAAATAATTGCAATATATGACTTCACCTTTCATAGTTATGTACTCATTGTATTTTCAAACAAAAAGATATGTAATATGACATAAGTGGTGAACTTGACATGAAAGTTTGAAGTAGAAGATATTGGATTTTGTTCATTCTTATTTAGATTTGATGGAGAAGGAAGATAAGAAGGTGGAATTTGGATCTTTGATTAGAACTTTGAGTGGATTTATAGATGGAGCTTTTGGTGGAGCTTCAAATGAATCTTTAAGTAGAGATTTAGATAGATTTTCTACTAGAGGATAAGATGTATACTTAGATCTAAATATTACAAATATATTTTATGCATTCTTATTATTTATGTAACAGTAATAGGTTAATGATTGCAAGAAGGCTTTGGCAACCAAAGCATTTCTAGTAGTAGATAACAAGATTGATCAGTTTGATGGGAGGGATATTTTTAAATATTTGAGATTTTTTTAAGAAAGAGATGATTCAATTCGAGCTTGCGATGGTATCAGAGATAAGACAATATATAAGATCAATATTGGAGTAATTTAAAAGTTTATGGGAGATTGTTTTACATACATTAAAGAATAAGTATTTCTTATAAGATACTAATTGAATTATTAAAAAATCTTTCTTGAAATGGATTGAATGGCTTAATAAAAATTTGCAAGTTATAGAATTATGAAAGGAGTTTGAGAGATAATATTCTTGATTATCAAAAGTGGAGAAGTTAACATTGGAACCTAATAAGATTGAATCGTTTCTTTAAATAGTTAATAGAGAATAGCAAAAAGAATTGAAAGTTCTTCTTAAGGATAAGGAATAGAATGAAGGATTGATAACAAAATAGAAAGAAGTTATAAATACTATAAGATTACTTGCAAAAAAAAAAAAAAAAATAAAAATAGGGTTGATATTCAAAAAATTGTATAAGTACCTAAAATTTAAGTTCTTACTTCACCATCAACAATACCTATTGTCCAACCTCCAATGACTACATCTAAGAAAAAAAATATGGAACTTGAGGTCATAATACTTGGGATGCAAGATCTTCAAATCAAATTTGCAAAGCTTGATAAGAAGACTTTTGTAGACTATTGAAGGGCTACTTCTCAAGAAGTATATATGCAAAGATGTATTTGATGTAAGAATGTTTCTTATTTTTAAAAAGATTGTGGTGAATTCAATGAGATGATGTAAGAAGGTATTATTTTTTGGAAAGATAGAAAAGTTGCATTAAAAGATATTGGTGATTTACTTCAAATCAATTTTAATAAAGAAGGTATAAAACATTGATTAAAGATTATTTGGCTACACATAGGATTGCAATAATAGAACCTACAAGTTACAGTATTATGGTAGATGATGATATCAAATAGGATTTTATTGAAAATATTTAACTACATAGACTTTGATCTTTTGTGATTTTTAAAATTCAAAAAGAAAAGATGTGACAAGAAGCATTATTGAAGATTGTTACTATAATTTGTAGATTTATAAGATTGAAGGATCCTATAGAAATTCTTTTAATATATACACATATTATCAGGAGCCAATATGAGACTTTGATGGAAGAAAAGATGAAGCAAGATTCTAAAGACACAAGAGAAGAAAGTACTTTCAAGAGACAAAGTTGAAGAGACAAGGCTTGTGAGATGGCTTCACAAGAATTACCAATGGAAGATGCTTTGATAGTATTGAAGAAAAAATCAAAAGATATAACAAATAAAGATAAGTTGTCAACATACAAACTACTCTTTGATATTAAGACAGCAATAGATTTAAAGGAGGTGCTTGAAAAACATGTGATCAATGTTAAAGTTAAATTTATATTCAAGGAGATTTTGAAAATTGCTAAAAAGAAATTTGTGATATTATTATTGATAATGTTAAACAAAAGATGTAATTAATGGGAGAAATTTGATTGAATCATGCTATTGATGTACACATATATAAAAATAATGAAGATGAGTTTGATAATTATTGTAAGAAATTTGTAAGTGAAAAAAAGAGTGATAATAAAAGAATTTATTTTAATAATCAAATTAATAAAAAAAAGAAGATTTTAAGTCATTATATTTAAAAGCATTGAGCTTAGGCAGCCACAAAGGCATTGGTGAAGGTTGGAGATATGGATGAACTAGTTGTTGCTTTGATTGACTATGGTTCAAAAATAAATCTTATATTTAAGAATCTTTATAAGCAAAGGAGGTGGCTAATTGATTTTAAGCATAGATAGATGATACGAGTAACTAATAATATATGAGATAAATTCTATGGTATTTTTTTAAATTTAAAAAATTGAATTGGTGATGTTGCAATAGAAAAAAAATTCTTTATATAAGATACAACACCTTATCCTCTTATTTTGAGATAATCATATATTATTACAATACAGATGGAAAAAAAAAATTTAATGATGGTTCAACTTATGTGAAAATTCATAGTGAAGATGAGAGAAGAGTAGTATAGTTTCTAACAGTACATCTAAATTATGAATAAAATCAAGATAAGTTGAAGGAGGATCTATTGCCAAGAGCTGTTACAAAATTCAGGGATTTTAGAAAAGTACCACTATAAAATAAGATTATAGAGGTACAAAAGAGGAAGTATTCTTGCAAGATGTAGATGCCTTTGATAAAAAATTTATTGGAGTTTTTTGATAGTAAAAGTATTATATATAAGAAGGTTGAAGATTTAATTTTTTTTAAGAAAATTATAAGATGAATTGTTTTTTGTGAGTTAGAGATATTAAGAAATGATGAAAAGATTTTTAGTGTTTATAAAAAAAAATTAATTGGAAGATCTTTTGAAATTGATTGTATCCATTGAATTAAGAAATGATGATAAGATTGTGCCAATTCATTCAAGTAAGGTTTATTCTATGATTAAATCCTTTCAAATATTAGAAATTATTATGAAAATAAAATGTAAGACAATAAATAAGAAGATAAAACGAGTTTTAGTTCTTTGCAAGAAGATTCAATAGAACAAATAGAAGAAGTATAAAAAAAAGAATTTAAGAGATCCAAAGAATATTGGACATAAGTTCATTAAAGAGACTTTTGAGGAATTGAAGATTAGATTTGATGGTTTTTTGTTGCAAGAAAAAATTATTTATTTCAAAGAAATGTTGACAAAATGAGATAAATGATTTGTCTTTAAATCTTAAGAAATTAGATGTGTGGATCCAAATATTATAACGCCTATGGTTATTCTCACTATACCACATATACTTTATAATTTGGGGCCAATTTCATTGCCAAAGGCATATTTATCAAAATTGGTAGAATTATTGGAAGAAAAGATATAAATAAAAAAAATTGAAGCCTTTTTTTACAACATATTATAGTCAATAATTTACAATACTATGAAAAATGGATCACTATGATTTATTCAAAATATGCAATGAGTAAATACAATAACTATTAAAAATATAATAATTGAATCAATAGTAGATGAATTTGCTAAAGCATTTGTAAGAGGGGCAATCTATTCAATGTGTGATTTGTATTTGGACTATGACCAATTTC